GGATCCCGTGAACAGGTTCGCCAGAGCGGCGCAAGTGCACCGCCTCTAATGGTATCCGCGCGTGCAGGAGGAACGTCGTGTGGCGGACTGCTAGGTCCGATCACACAACTAGTGGCGAGTGGAGGTGGCTAGTTGCAACACATGCAAAGCCCTAATGACGGCGCCGAAGCGATCAACCACCTGAGTGTGCCGCACCTCCACTTTATATAGGCGTCCGTCGCGGGCTCAACACTTGGGTCTCGCACGGACCCTAAAGCCCACAAGTCTACTCGGCCGCAATCCGAATACAGTTCGGATCACATCCGACCAGTGTCCTCGGGTCCGACCTCGTAGGTTCCTTCCCTTAAGCGCGCGACCCCTTAGGTTCAAGTCGGCTTGGTCGCAGTTTGGATCACCTCCGAACTACACAGTTGGTAGCAGCCTCTAGCAAGGCATGCCGAATACCAAGCAGACTATGAAGCTGGTTAGGCGAACCTATACAACATGTCACACTTTTGTTTCCTTTGCCACCCGATATATGTTGTCGGGCTCAAGGCGAGATTGTCATCCTTGTGCTAGCCCGACCTCTTTCTCATTCCAGTGATGCCGGCCACTATCCGGATTACCTCATAATCCTTGTCGCACGGCCATGCTATCCTGGTCGGATCACACGAGGGGCCCAGAGTATATCTCTCCTAATCGGAGGGGGAAATCCCATCTTGCTCGACCATGTATCGCAGCATGGGTCTGGACAAGTCTAAAACCTACCTTTGTAACTACCTGGTCATGGAGTACTATTTGGTCGGCCCAAAGCAGGTCTGTCACCATCCCGAGTACATGCGCCAGCTCAGGTCTTAGGACATAGAACGTATGTTGTACTAGAGACTCACAGATGACATATCGCTGCGTCTCATAGTTGGGTCTGTCAGACTCGAACCTTATCTCGACTCGGATCCGACTACGTCGAATCCGACCAGACCTTTTCAAGTCCATATTATCCGGTTAGCATCCAATGCTCCATGGCTAGTGAGACCAAGCCATCGACCGTGTCATATGCTAGTCTAGTCGGCTGCGCGTCCACACAACCCTTCGGACTAGGGACCTTTTAGGACAATCATCATACAATGCATAGTCCCACAAACAAGTCACGTACTTGCTGATACACATCATTGATAATGTTCAAGGGCTATCTTTATTCATAAACACATAGGAAATATCATCATACATGATTGCCTCTAGGGCATATCTCCAACAATGTGGTGTAGTGATATATCAAACACAAGCCAAGGAAGTTAAAACCAAATCGAAACAAATTACCACAATAACATGCGAGATAAAAAAGAGTTAATCCCATGAGTGAAGAACGGCTTGGTGAAGCGCATGTTAGCCTCTAGTATATTTGAAGTTGGAGCATATTGTATTGCCTCGTCCAAAAGAGTTAATCTTAATATAAGACCGTTGCCGATCCCTGTTCAAGTATTTCTTACAATTCAATAAATTTCCCAGGTAACAAATATGAGGCGCTTCAATATTGCTCGGTCCAGTTCGCGTTTCGGCCTTTAGCCCATTATATGGAGTGAAAAGGAAAAAAATGTGAAGGGGAGACGGGGGGTTGTCATGTTTGGAGGGCGCCGTTATGTATCGCTTCATGCAAGACCAAATAAGATCTAGCCTAAAGGAGCGCCCTTCCAATCACTACTATTGGGCTGGCCCAACTTTCTAGTTAGTAAAATTTTCTTTTATATCATCATTCATTTGTTTTTTTGCCATTCCACATGTGTTACATTTTCCAAATACTACAAGTACATATATTTTCGAAATTAATTTATTTAAAACTAATTCAAAAACCATGAATATGAAAAATATTAATGCAGTTTAAATTTTTTGAAACCCTAATTATAAAACAATTTTATATAGCTTTAAAAAAATGTTTGTGACATTTAAAAATGTTCATGCATTTCAAAAATTAAATGAGGCGTTTTTATTAAAAGTGTAAACAATGTAAAAAACTACTTTTGTTGAACTGTAAAAATCTGGTTTCTACCATTAAAAAACTGCTTACACCTTTAAAAAATATGTCCTTGGCATTAAAAAACGGTGATACAGTGTAAAAACTGTTCACTTACTTTAGAAAAAAACTGTATTATCTAAAAGTAATTTGAATATTAGTTTGGAAAATTTTATAACTTCTATTTGAAAAAAAGCTCATAGCTTGTGTTTGAAATAAATGTTAGTCATGTATATGAGGCATGCTAAAAATAGAAAAAAAATGATGATAATATAAATATATAATGTGTATGGAAAACAGTAGGCATCAAAAACATAAATTTTAAAAAAAATGTTGATCATGCATTTGAAAAAATTAAACGTCTAGAATAATGTTTCGACTACAGACGGGAAATGTCCAATGTGTATGAAAATTAGACATGTGTTGAAGAAAAAGAAAAAAAATAAAAACTAAACGGAAAAAGGATGAAAATGGTCAAAACCGAAGAAAGTTGGAAAAAAGGAAAAATCAATGAAAACCATAGAAATTGTCAAGTAACCGTTAAAAACCACAAAAAAAATCACTCGCAGCTACTTTCCTTGGCTGCTCCAATGGCTCCAGGCTGTAGCCCAATTGTATCAGGAATCAAATACATGTGATCCATAGCCGTCACACAGTTTGGGAGCAAAGGCTATTTCTTGCTTGGGGAGCCCCTATATCTCGCATTCTGTGCGAGCGAGGATGTCCTCGCTGAAGGGGGCTACCAACAGGGGCTGGCCCGCACGCGCGAGCCCAAATCCTGAGTTTTCTGTTTTTGTTTTGATATTTTATGTTTTCCTTTTTTGCTTTATTTTCGTACTTTTATTTTCACTTTAAAATATTATAAATATATATTATAAAAACATTTGAAAAATGTTGAATAATTATTAAAAAATATTGAACAAGTATTTGAGAAATGTTAAGCTAGCATTCGAAAAATGTTGAATAAGTATTTGAAAAAAATATTGAACAAGTATTTTTTTAAAATGATAATCAAGCATTTGGAAAATGTTGAACATGTATTTGCAAAATGTTGAACAAGTATTTGAAAATATTGAACAAGTATTTATAAAATGTTGAGCAAGTATTTGAAAAATGTTGAATAAGCGTTCGGACAATGTTGGACGTGTATAAAAAAATGTTGATCACTTATAAAAAATGTTTTTGACATAACAAAAATGGAGAGTGAAAATGAAAACAAACATAAGAAAAAACAAAAGAAAAAATGGAGAAACTAGAGAAAAAACGAAAAAAATTGGAGAAAACCTGGACAATAAACGGTGAAATACCCGGCTTGTTTCGAGTTTAGAAGATCCTCCCTACCAATCCATCACAAACACGAACCTAGTATATTAGCTAGTCGCATCTCCTGTGAAGGGAGAGCAGGGTTTGAATCCCATGGGCGCCGCCCATTGCTCCTCCCCTTTTTTCTTCATTAATTGCCAGCGAATGGGCCGACCCAATTAGCGGGCTCCTTCCGAGAGAGAGGTTCTATCCTCTCACTTAATGGTAGACATAAGACCTAATTGGTTCGGTGCCAATAATGGAATTACCACGACATGTGGAAGAGGTTCTATATAATGAAATTACCACGACGGGTTCTATGTAATGAAATTACCACGATAGGTGGAAGAGACGCAAGGAAAATACATCCTACCATTCGGTGGTAGTTACACTCACGTCTCATATGCTACCATGTGAGTAGCGTTGTGTGTTTGGTTAATTTGGTTAATATGGTTTGATTAGTATGGTTTATTGGCGAATATGGTTTTCATACATCGGTTAATAGGGCATGCAACGAAATTATGGCTCAGCTCTGTTAAAACCACTATTTCGGTACGATTTCGGTAAAGACCACATTAACTAACGTTGAACAAATTTTAGAATGACTCGACGAGCTAAAGCATGACACAGTCGCACATGAACAATTGACAAATGAAAATAAAGTAATTGGCATGCATAATTCAGTACCAGCCAGGAGTGGCAACCAGCATACCACAACAGTACAACAATACAAGTCCAGAAGCGGTAATGATTTGTTCACTTGACGTGGACAGAAGCACTACCCAAATAGTAGTTCATCACGCAACAATCAAGCATCAGCATTTCAGAGGCAAAAGCACGCACATGAATCGAGTAAGCATCAGCCAAATACCAACGTCTGGGGTGAAAGGGAAGGAGAAGCTAGGCGAGATGTGTGCCTCCGTGTCGGGAAAAGGAAGGCCTCCGGATGAATAGCTGAATACCCACTGCTACTTTCTACTACTCCATCTCATAATATAAGATCATTTTGCATGTTACTTTAGCTTGCAAAATGGTCTTATATTATGGGATGGAGGAAGTAGGTCTCTGGGTAGCCATGCGAGGCGTCTTACTATGTCTGACGAGGTGTCGAATATAGTGTACAAGGTAGGTATGCCTCGGATTTATTCTAATAGAGTCGCAGAGAGAAAAGTTAAAAAAAATTCTAATATAAGATCGTTTTGCAAGTTGTTTTAGCGGTTCTATTTTGCAAGTATTAAATGGTCCAGATATCGCATTTAAGTAAGACTGAACAATGGAGCGATGGTTGATTGGATGAAATTATCACCTGACAAAGAAGACATGCATAGTTCGATGGCATATCTGAAATCGGACCGACCGCACATGTCAAAACTATTATTCGGTCTATTTTGCACTGCTCAAACAACAAATTATATATTATTTATTAGGCCTTGTACAATGGGAGGTGCTTAGGAGAGGTGGTTAAAGAAAGGGAAAAGTATATTTTTCATCCTTGAACTCTCTCGAAAGTATAGAAATGGTCCCTCAAGTCCAAAACCAGCAAATCTTAGTCCCTCGACTTTTGAAACCACATAAGTTTAGTCCCTCCTTTTGCTTAAGGTGGTTTTCATCTGACGTGTAAGCGGGTTTGACCAAAACTTGACACATACTCCGGGTTTGACCGCCACGTCATTGTCTCATGGAGCACCCAACAAACCAAGCAGTTAGGCATTTACACAAACATTTGTTGGGCGCAGCGAGGAACTCCGGCAGCGGGCACGACGGCGGCGCTCTGGACGGTGCAGGAGCTAGTAGGGAGAGGCTGCACGCTTTTGGCGAGCGAGCTGGGTGTCCGCATGGCTGGGAAAGCAAGCATGGGCACGCGGGACGGCCGAAGCTTTGCTGGCGATGGCTTCCAGCAGCGGAGGTGAGGACTGAGGAGTGGCGCTATGCGGGCAGCTAGATGGTACGGGGAGGAAGCTTCGGGAGAGGAGAGAGTAACCAGCGTATCACTAGAGCATCTACGCGTGCTCGGACGCGGCGAGGACGCACCGAAGCGACGGTTGCGTTGACGGCAGTGGGAGGCGGAGCACGGCCGGGCTGGCGTCGGGGTGATGTCGAGGATTAGGGGCTGCTCAGGTAGGACCAAAGCGAGCTTAGGAAGTCTACAGGGAGAACTGGAGCTTGCCGGAGGAGGAGATCGCGGGAGTGTCCTGGCGATCACATTGGAGCCAGACCCCAGAGGCAAGCATGAGGAGGACTGGAGGCGGGTGGCAGCCGCGTCATCCATGGCGAAGGCGGAGGTTGGGACGAAAAGGGCCTCGTCGCCGACGGAGATGCCGGCGAGCCCGACGTAGTAGAACGTGTTGGTGCGCGGGCTGCGGATGAGCGGCGCTTGTCACGGCCGGCTGGCAACAATGGTGGTCGCCGGCGAGCGAGCACCTGCTCCGCCTTTTTTTTTGTGTGGCTCGAGGCCTCGAGCTAGTTTCATGCAAGCTGACCTGATTGGAGGTCTGGTGTTTGAACACAAACCTGTACTTTTATTTCATCTGTCCGTAGATTGATGAGTGGGCCCACACGTCATCTTCTCAGTCAAACCTGGACTATGTGTCAAGTTTTGGTTAAAACCGCTTCCACGTCTGACGAAACCAGCTCAAGTGGGATGAGGGACTAAACTTATCTAGTTTCAAAAGTTAAGAGACTAAGATTTGATGGTTTTGAAGTTAAGGGACCATTTCTATACTCTCGACAGAACCGAGGGACGAAAAATATACTTTTCCCTTAAAGAAATAAACCAGACTTTCCTTAAGCACCGGTGCTTATTTATATAGGGTAGACGCTTAACTAAGCGTCTCTCCTGTTGAAATAGGCACCGGTGCTTAAGAAAAATTCGATTTATTTTTCTAAGCACCCCTCTAAGCACTTCCCATTGTACAAGGCCTCAGTGCCTCAAGCAGTCGAGCGCAGTTTGAGATGATGAGGCCAGACTTGAGCATTGTCCTGGACGAGCTGAACAGCTCCTCTGCCTTGATAGTCCTATACCGTGGTGGACCGCTCCCGTCGACGACCACCGGTCCACACAATGTTGCCATTTTAGCCCGAATGCGCCATGTCTCGATCGATTCCGATCTGATCAAAGTTACTACGACAAGTGGCAATGAAAACGGGATTAACCGGGCTTACGTCGCCTTTGCTTCCCAAGGGAGTGAGTGTGCCGTCCCCGGCCTCGTTCCACCCCGTCTCCCTCCAAAACTGCGACGTCAAGATCCTGTGCAGAGGGCTCACCTCTCGGTTGCAGCGCCAGATCTCTCTCTTGATCGATGAAGACCAGTCCGAGTTTCTGCGGGGGAGGAGCATTACGGGGAACTTTATCTACGCCACGGAGCTGGTTCAGTGCTGCCATAAAAGGGGGGCCCCTACTGTGGTGCTCAAGCTAGACTTCGCCAAGGCCTTCGATTCGATGAACTGGCCGAACTTGAGGGCCAACATGGAGGTGCGTGGGTTCCCCGCTCTCTGGTGTGACTGGATGGACCTCCTGTTCAAATCTTCTCGGTCGGCTATCCTCCTCAACGGCGTGCCGGGCAAGTGGTTCCCCATCCGGTGCGGGCTGCGGCAGGGGGATCCGGTCTCCCCCTACCTGTTCCTACTCGTCGCCGACGTGCTCCAACGCCTCATTCGTCAAGATGGCGTCTTGCGTCATCCTCTCCTCCCCGGGGCTCCCGCTGTGGTGCTCCAGTACGCGGACGACACGCTAATCATCATGCGTGCGTGTGCGGCCGGGGCTGCTCGTCTGCGCCTTCTCCTGGATCAATTCGCAGAGGCCACGGGATTGGTGATCAACTTCACCAAAAGCACATGCGTGCCCGTGCACGTCGACGCCGATGTCGAAAGGGACGTCGTGGCTGCGCTTGGCTGCTCCTCTGGTGTGTTCCCGCAGACCTACCTGGGTCTCCCTCTGTCGTGGGAGAAGCTGCGTTTCGCAGATTTTCTGCCCATGATTGCGAAGGTGGACAAGTACCTCGCGGGGTGGGCGGCGTGCCTGCTCTCGGCTGCCGGTCGGCTCGTCCTCATCAACGCCGTCCTGGACGCCCTCCCCGTCTACGCCATGGGCGCGTTGCTCCTGCCGCCTAAGGTGGTCCATGCCCTCGACGGGCTGCGGCGCTCTTTTCTCTGGTGCGTGGCGGAGCGTGCTTCAGGCGCGCAATGCTTGGTCGCCTGGGAGCGGGTGTGCCGGTCCAAGTCTGAAGGTGGGCTGGGGGTTCGTGACCTTGCTTCTCAGAACGCCAGTCTGCTGCTGAAGATGCTCCACCGCCTGCATGCCTCCCCGGCGTCGTGTTGGGCCTCTTGGGTTTGGGGTGGCGCGGACGGGCTATCACTCTTGGCTCGTCGCGAGCTGATGCTGGGTGAGCATCGGTGCTCTCTGGCTAAGCTTCTTCCTCTCTACCGTCAGCTCACCACGGTGGAGGTGGGGGATGGGCGGACCTGCTCATTCTGGTGGGATCGTTGGCTCCCCTGCGGGGCGCTCGCGGTGGCGTTCCCCGCCCTCTTCTCTCACGCCACCGCGCCGGAGGTCACGGTTCTCCGAATGCGCGCGCGAGGCATCGCGGCCTTCCTGGTCCCCCGGCTCACCGGGGAGGGCGCGCGCGAGCTCGCGGCCGTTTCGGCCCTCCTGGACGCGTTCCCCGTCAGGGGCGGCCCTGACCACCGGGTGCTGGCTCGCCTCGTCGTGGGCCCCCGGGGCGCTATGTCGTCGAGCTCCTCGTACAAGCTCC